ACTGGTCAGAGTGAGTGCAAAAGACTCTGCGCGACTACCATACTGAGAGTGAAGGAAGGTAGACGAACTGCTGCATGCAACTATTACCGCTCCTCAGCTGGTCACATTGCCTATCTAAATTTTGAAGGCGAACAGAATGCTTGCGAAACTATTACTAAAATAGAAATAGAATACAGGTGGCCAAAATGCCACGAGCAGTAACCACTGAGTTACTCATAGAAAAAAAATGATCCAACGCTGAAATTTTTCGCGCTTGGGCACTCAAATTAATTTAGAGATTCAGAAAGAGATCTTTCGATAACAAAAAAGGAGGTGATTGAAGAAAATGGTGAGATTTTTCCGCCCAAAATGTGTCTCCAGGCTTCAGTTGATGATTTAGTTTTTTGCTGATCATTGTTAGGATTGTAGTGATGAAATAACGCTGATTTAGAGCAAATTAAGGATATTTTTTTAAGGAAAGCATAAAATGGAGGTTTATCCTATAGAATGCAGCATTCTACTGACTACATACTGCGAGCTACGAAATGAAAGACTGATGGGATCGATTGATATGACACATATCCCAGCAATTATGAAAAGTAAAACCAGTATTTTAGCAAAACATGTTCAAAAATCCGATGTTCGTCGGACTTGTCTACTTCCGGCATGGATCCACCTCAACTGCTTCCAATCTGAGCTGGGTGTGATCGCGTGGGTGGCGAGGAATCTGAGGTTAGATCGTGAGACCCAATCGACACGTCTGACTGCGACTCCCCGCGACCTGCTGACCCGAGTCGCCCGTCGACAGACGGATGGGACACTTGTTGGTGGTGACATCCGAACAACGCGTCCATCGCCGTCACCTTCGATCGAAAGTTCGGCAAGGGGAGTTCCGGCTGAAATGAACGATATGCGCCCCGAGGTGCTTGTTTTTCCGCCATCGGAATTGTATGCGCCCGCGCCGAGCCGCACAGTGGATCGAGCCAACGGAAGAGATCGGACAAAATTTGGAAAATTTAAAATCTTATAATTACGTTTGTACAAAACTTTGAGGTTCTAAAAGTGGTTTCATTGGTTCCCTGGTAACATTTTTTTTTAAAGTACCCCTTGAAATTTAACATGTGACGATATTAACATAAAAATTTGCAGTTTTAGTCAAACAAGCTCATGTCCGACCTCTCTGACTGACTCGTTCCTCTGTGCGCCGCAACGCGCCATGCCGGGAGTATTTTTAAACCGACGGTGATGTGTCTCCGTTGCCAATTCGCCGGCATGGTCCACGTCCGCCATATGTCGCTCCGGAAATACCCCGCAAGAGCAATCGGGTGTCGTTGGATTCAATCAAATAAAATATTTATTTGCGAGAAAATGAATGAATATTCTCGCTTGCAATTTTTAGATTCCTGGGAGAAAACTACGGATAAAATTCACTGAGAAAAATCACGAGAGAATATACATGATTTTCCTTAAAAATTAATATTTTATGGGAGGAAATTTGGCAACATGGGATTGTTAATGCGGCGTTTTTGCTCAAGAGGGTGGCGCTCTCCGTGAGATTCCGGTGCCGCACCAGCGACTTTTCTGTTGTACGGTGAAATGGGTTGGGAGGTTAGGAAGGGGCGGGCGCACAGTGGGACGAAAAGGTGTCAAAACGGGACATTCGCACATTAGACGATAATTTTTCGCCGATCTTCTCAAAACTTGATATTTTCGGTCTTTTTGGGAAAAGGAATCCAATATTATATTCAGTGTTTGGTTCATGGTGACAATCCCGCCAAAAAGTGATGTTGCCAAGTCTCTGTTTTAATCTATTTGATAAACAGATTAGCATGATTATGGCAGAGATTTAACACGCATGTCGTTTGCTTTTTTTTCATTGAAAAAGAAAATGAATTCACTTTTCCTGAAATTGAGAAAGGCTTTTATTAAGAAACAACACCCCCCCCCCTACCGTCTTCTTACCTATCGCAAAAACTGCATCGATATTTGACTATAGGGGAATGAGTTCATCAATGGGCAGACATTAAAGTATGAATCCGAAAATCATAATTGAATAGGTTGCTCCCAAATATTATCATTCTTTGACACAGATGCTTTTTCTCCGTTTTTTTTCAAGGACTTTTCTTCTTCCCTTTTGAGCGCCATTTTTTAAAATCCTGATTATACGAAATATGCAACAGACACTCAAAAGCTCTAATCTTAAGATGTCAAGGCAAAATTCCATACTTTAGAAACTCCGAGTTTCTTGGGGGTCTTTTCTGCACTTCTGAGATATCGTTCATAAGAATGAGGATTTATTGCCAATCAATATATTGCAAATTTTTCCATTGAATATGCTGGAATACAAATCATGGGATACTGTCAAACTGTCGCTACATTGGTTGATATTATTAGTGTATTTTCCGAAGGAAATACACTATTTTATATTTTTTAATTTCAGCTCCGATTCTAAGGACCGTTTCCATCACGACATCATCCGATTCTTTGCAAATCCAAAATAAAAAATTGCTCTACAAAAAAAGACGATAGCAATCAGTATCCTAGATATCAGATAAGCATTGCAGCAAGCTGATAAGCAACGCAGCGGCAGCGCAGCGGCCAGCAACGCAGCCCGTTGCGCTCAACCTCAACCGTCAGTTGGCCTGAGAAAGCGCTCGATTTTAAGCGAACCGCGCTCATGTTTTCCCTTGTAACTTCCAAAGTCGGAAGAAGTCGGATGAAAACTAATATGATTCTGAATGCTAAGGATACGTAGAATCTCGATATGCAAACCGTTTCTTGGACAAGTCTGGACATTTTTTTAAAACTCTAATGGAAGTTTGAATTTTAGTTTTTTGACTTGTCGATTTGGAATTCACTCTCTGACCCCCAGGAAGTTAAAAGTAATCATCACCAATGACGTAAACGAATAGTCTATGTTTGTATTCAATTGTTATAACAAAAAATTGCATTTGAAATCATCTCGGAAGCTAGAGGAGCAACATTTGTATACGTGCGCTTTTACCTCTTTTTTTCATTTTTCCGAAACACGCGTTTCTCTACGCCTGTCATTTGAATATTCCTTAATTAAATTGTTAACATCTTCGTTATTCTGGAAGTTTAGACCCTCCAGGTAACTTCTACACCCTTGGTTTTCGCTTTTAATGATTTTCATTTTTACCGTGAATGTCCCGTTTCTGTAATGGGCTCGTCCCAATGTGGGGCGTTTTTCACTACGATTCAGAATCTCTCGGATGCGATCCACCCACATGGCCGGCTGTTCATCTCGCCAAATCACGGGGCCATGAAACTAACATTGACCTCGTTCGGGTCGGGCCGATCGCTCTTCTTACTCCTGACGTTCCAACTATTGACAGTAACGAAATTTCTCTCTTACGCCTGCAAATTCTTGTTCTTTTACTTTAAAGTCGTGAAGGGAAATAAGTATCCTCTGGGCAGTCCGGGCAGACTTTTCGCGGACGGATACTGATTTTCCCTCATTTTCAATGCGTTTAATCGGTATATTATCCGGATGAATTTGGTTTTAGATTTTTACTTCACGCCATTGTTGCCAGATTGTGCTGAAAATTCAGTACATATTTTCCACACAATCTGGCAACCTTGATTTTAACAATTCGAGGAACTAAAAACTGTACTTAGGTTTATTCGACTTCAATTCATTCAATTTAGATGCGAAAAAGATAAAAATTTGGTCGGCCGCAATTTTATAAAAATTTATATTCAGAAGTTGTGCTTCGTCGTTTGGTAAAGTTAATGAATTGTTCGATAATTGCAGATAGACGCATGCTTAACACTACCTACCATCCATACCGGCTTTACCGCTGTAAATACAGCCAAGAATCCAGTAGCCAGCTTCATTCTTTTATATACCGAAAATGCACCAAAAATTCATCGAAAATGCACCTATATTTTATGCATTATGGAAATTTTGTGAAACCAAAGTGTAGACATTGACATTTGATAGTCATGGGTCAGAAAAGCTCCTGCACAAAGATTTCGATGTGAGCTTTGAGACTCACTACGTAACTTGTATGGGAGGTATTTATAACGGACCGTTCGGTTAAGCACCATGGGATTTATTCTAAATCCAACTTCCCCTTTTATGAGTCTCGTGCGTCAGCACTGACACGTATTTCTCGAGTAGTTTACGAATGAACAATCAATAAAAAGCTACGATGATTTAGGTAAACTATTTTTTCATGCTTAACTGCCGTCGCTAAGTCGCTGACACCGGAAATTATTTGGAAGTGGTCATTTTGTGCTATACTCCTCGATTTCCACAACTTTCCATCTTTTTCTAACGATTTGCTGCGAGAAAAGTTGAATTCTAAATACACGTTGTGTTCGGACCGTATGAATTGTTAAGTATTGAAGGATATTAAGCAAACATTAAAATGGATGTAAGTATTATTTGGTTTCCACGAGTAGAGCACGTTGTTCCAAAATATTAAGGAAACATTTTACAACTACATAGGTACTTGCTGCTTTAGGTCTGTTTTTAAGGAAGCCTAATATGGTTTACATCGAATGTCACAAACTGGAACATTTTATTCTGATCTCGCCAACGGATCACAATGATTTGTAACTGATTCCTCGAAAAAGTACAAACTGCAAGTGGGTTAATATCGTAATTAATATGTTTATTACTTAGCTGAGAATTATTGTAATCTCTAGCAAGAATCTAATTACCGAGTTCTACTGCTGAACTAAGTTTGAGGTTTGCAGAAATTGTCCTTTTTTACGCTATGTTTAAGTTTTTTGTAGACTTCCCCTAATCATAACGAAGCCTCATTCCCTCTACCCACCGTTTGGCGTTTGACCGTGAAGAGATGGAGAGATGCCAGCCTCCGGAGGATCTCTACCATGATAGATTCCTGTGGCGGGTAGGCGTCGCAGAGCGCCCTAGCGCGCCGTAAAAGCGGCTTATACATACATACAAAGCCTTATTTCAGAAGTGAGCTGTTCAAGAAATGGTCATGCGCACGACCCACATTCTTCATTTAACATCAAAAGTAGCTCACCTGAGTGTTAGGAGTTTGAATCCGGGTAGGCAGCGTGGAATATTTGACCTCCTGGATGACTCCGTTGATCGCATCGCAAGGCAATGGAAAATGACTATAACTCGGTTGCAAGGGGTGCAGCCGGTGATCCAAACTCGTGCAGTTATCCAGGCAATCAGTCTGAGAACCATCCGAGTAAACACCAACATCGGGTCCAGTCCTCAGCGTTGGACCCTCGACTCGAACGGGTCCATTCTGGACGGGATCCCTTGGATCGGAGGGTCCACCGTGGAGTCGACAGCAGGGACACAATGGAGGCACCGGCTGGAGGAATGGGTTCGTCGTTTGGTTAGGGAAAACCGAGGGGTCTATCCTCTGCGGTGGTGGAGGGGGTCGCAAATGATTTGGAGCGGCTAGATATTGAGGGGGTATGGTGGAACCGGGGGGATAACCGATTTCCTGCTTGGGGGGAGACGAAAACGGCCCGTTTTCGGAGGACTCTTCAGAGACTTCTTCGACGGTGCTGAGGTTATCGAATATCTTACGGATGCTACCGGCTTTCCGTTGGTTCTGCGCGTTTTCCTGGTCGGCGTTCTCTTTCTCCGCGCTTTCCTCGGTGTTTCCGTTTTCTTCTTCTCCGTTTTCCTCCTCTCCGTTCTCCTCCTCCTCGTCTTCGTCCTCTGATTCGTCCTCCTGAAACAATGGAATTTCAAATTTGAAAATGATAGTCGGTGGAGCATACGACAGACAGAGGAAAACTTATGACAGTAGCAAATCGTGTAAAATATGTTGTACGCAACGAAGTCAGATACAGTGTACCTTGAGGTGAAAACTCTGGTGAAACTCCTCTCAGTACATCGGAAAAACCGGTTTTGGTATCGAAACTTTAGACGTTAAGATTATGGTACTGCAAAATGTCGCTGTTGTCGTTTAGACCCAATTCGATATTACGGAAAGGCCTTGTGGTGACGTCATGACTGGTGGCTTCTATCGATAATCAACCTATGAGAACACGTATATTACTGCCGTGCTAAGGAATAACGCCGTATGAACCTTCAGGTGTTGCCAAATTTCCTGATATGAAACATGAATTTTCTGGTGAACCTATGCAGATTTCCCCCCCCCAATTTTTCAGATAATTTTGTTCCCAATTTTATCTAAAGTTCCTGAAAATTTCCAGGAAAAATATTCATAACTTTCCTCAAAAATAAATATTTTACCGGAGGAAGTTTGGCAACCCGCGAATGTTCTTACGGCGTTTTTCCTTAGCACGGCAGAGTACGCCGGACTATTCCTTCCTATTTTCTTTTTGAAAGAATGAAAAACCTCCTTCGTAGTTTGACTTTTTTACAAAATACCTATACTTCACGCAGAGAAGAGCATTTTCAGGTTTTCAAGAACTATGCCATTGAAGTTTATTTTTTTATTTTTTATAGGTAGTCTTTATTTTTTTTTCTTAATTTCTAATGTGAGGAAATCATAAAATCGCCAAATTATTAACCGCAAATGACTTTTGGCTCTGCTCTCATAGGACAACTATCTAGTCAGACATTTTAGGAGGGTCGAGAAGTCCAAAGATTAAAAAAAAGCTTCAGCGTAAGAGTAACTTTTGAATTCTCCTCAACGAGATGCGGCAAAATTCTATGAAGTTGTTATCGTGGTTTTGCCAAGTTATGAAGGAAACGTGCTTTTGAGGGGAGATTAACTATGGGCTTTGAGTATCTGGGGATGAAGATAGTGAAGAAGGAGAGTTCGAAGCTGATGAGGAGCGAAGCTCTGGTTTCAGCTGAAAATAAATTATAATTAATTACTTGAATGGGGTTTGAATTTCTTATCATTAATTAAGTTTTAAGTGCAATCTAAACCCGAGCCTTACTGCGGCAGAATAGCGGCTCAAGCAAACTACTCAAATCGATTATTAATTGATCCGATTTCTGTTACCCTAGCCGAGTCTCTGAATTCGTGTGTTATAAGAGCTGTAAGTATGGCTAATCTCATGCAATTATTCCGCGCAAAAAATAAGCCGGAAAATTTTGCGAGAGACACTGTGGCTTGGCAAGTACATAATCGGACCCTGACGAGGCGTTGCCATTTTTCCTGTGGAATTAATCGAAAAACTCCCATGAAAATCCACCCTCACAGTCTAGTCAATCTATTAAAAAAAATGGCTTCAGTTTGAAAATTTTGCGAAAAACTTTCTAGCATACAGGGTTATTCAAAAGTCACGCACCACTGGCCATAACATCAGTTCTAATTATGATATCGACTTGCGGTCTAAGACGTTTTTCCTCATATCGAGGGGGGAAACTTTTTTAGGTACTTTCCAGTTTTTGATCCCCTCGGGGGGAGGGGGCGGGGGGGGGCAACTCAAAAATTTCAAATGGCCACCCCCCTCATGGCCAGTGGTGCGTGACTTTTGAATAACCCTGTATATTTCCTATATGTTTTTTAATGCTGATTCCGAATCTGAACTTTGCTACCTTCGATTTTCGCCACTAAAGCCGCCATCTTAAAAAATATAGTATATTATTATCGTAGGTAAAATGAACTCGATCATTTGTTGACTGGCATCAATCAACATTCCTTATAATTGATCTCAGTTAGCATAAATCAATCCAGCACTTGCCATTCCTTGCCTCCGGATCACGGTGGGTCGAAAATAATTTCTGCACGCTTCTCGGCGTAAATATGGGCCAATAATAACGTCATTTTTCATCAGGCAGCATAAACATGCTGCCAACATCAAACCCTGAGCGCGTGCACTGTACACGCGGGAAACAGAATGCTATTAATGCATCATATCTTTTTGTTTCTGCATTCATTAGATTGCCTAGCATGTTTAACCGAAAATCGTGGATTTTTTTTTTTTCATGACTGGGTGGTAAATACGCGCCCTTTTACAAGAAAAAGATCCTATGTGCAGAGCAGCCAGAAGAGTAATTTTTTTCAAGATCAGTATAGAATTGTAATTGATGTGATCGGGGCTGGTTTGGTGATTTGGCCAGTAGGTAATTTGAATTTTCGAGAGGATAAACTTTTTAGAGTCTTTAGTAGCAAATGGTATACGTATTATAGTTTTGTGCCAAACGGTGGCTTGAAGTTTAATTTTTAATCTGACAATTAAGTTCCTTCTCGACGAGCAATAACAGCAAATCACTTTCGCTTTTTCAAGACTATATTGTGTGAAATTATAACTTCAAACGCTTATTAATTCGGTCAGATCTTACAATTTTGGGCGGTCTTAGACGCAATAATTTTCTTACAACCTCTTTTATAGAGTGGTGCAAAAATTTCAGCCCATTAAATAATACTGTTTATTCCCTTGTACTTTGTAAGGATGCGGCATGCCCAAAAATGATTCATTAAAGTTACTGATATTTATTCTGACAGCTCAGGTTTTACGCCAAAAAGTGATTTTTTTCGCATTTTTAACAGTTTTCTTGCTTACCTGTTCCTCCAGTTGTTCCTTTTCTTTAAGCTTGTCCTCGAGTTTATCATATTCTTCCCTGAGTTGCCAGATTTCTCGCTTCAGCTGCTCATTCTCTCTTCTAAGTTTTTTGATATCGCTCTGGCCTGCAATGAAAAAATTCAATTATAATACGTGTGTAAAAAATGTATGCATTTCAGTTCTCATATCTTTACTTGAATTGACCATATTTTCCGTTTCTAAGAAATCAGGTGTCCAGAGACGTCTAATTACTATCGATACAAATGTTCTCATTGAAACCATCCACCTGAGAAAAGATACAATTAGGCTGATTGTGAGAGAGATGATGAATGATGACACAATTCACGAGAGAGAAATGAAAGAAAGAAGTATTTTGATCTAGAGATCATTAATGAGATTCTTAACATGGCATCATGAAAAGAATATTTTACGAATCTCGAGAATGATTAACAAAATGTTTTTGAAAGTAGATCATTGCAATGGATAATAATGATTTGCCTCTACAATAATAAAATACACGGAAGAAAAAATACTGAGATTGTAATAAACTTGAATGCAGGTGCCTACTTCAAAATGTTCCAAACTTTCAAAAAAAAATTCGTTCATATGATTAATTTTTGAAGAGGCAAATCATTGTAATCCCTTGCGAGACTCTGCTTCTAAAATTGCACTGTTGATCTTCATTCCTCTTTAAACCTCCATTTGCAGTAATATAAAGATAAACCACATAGAGCTCTATCGGGGAAGGGCCTAGTACAGGAAAATCTATGAAAACGGTCCTGACTTTTACTTTGCCTGGTGCTCTATTCATGACGATAGAGCTGCTCGATTAAAACATGTTACAGTGCTAAACAATAATTGAACACGCGTTGAAACTTACGCATGGATCGATATCAGTTGAACCTCCTCAACCGTACACACGGTGTGCAAAATATCTCTAATTTTGTCTCACTGCTTTTAAACAATGTAGCGCACGTGGGACGAACATAGGAACCGCAGATTTCACCCCTTCTGCCCACTGGCGCATACAACGCCTGCCTACATCAATTATTTTGAATTTGATTTCGGTATAGGCTTAACTGAACATTTTTACAGAGTAACAAGGGACAGTGTTTATCGGCCTGTTTTGAAGCAAGCCTCCCTCCTCCCTGTCGTCACACTGTGTGATGAATGCGGCGTTCATTAGGAGAGCAAATCGCTTCAGCTGTTCCACGTCATTGCCTCGTTTCCATGCAAAGCGATCGAATTTTCCGCCAATATTTCGGGGGGAATTTCAATCGTCGGGACTAATGCGGCACCGCAGACGAGGCGAGGGGGCGGGGACTACGCCCGAGACTGATACCTTTCCCATCAGGAATGTGGTTTGCACCCTTGGCGCGGACCCTCCCTGATTAAAAGGGGTAAATTAAATTCCCTCTGCCCCCGTTTATAACCCAAGGGGTGCCCCACGTTAACTGGCTCTGTCTTCGGCGGATGGGGCCGCGATTTTTCGGCCGACTCGATGGATCCTTGTCCGGCCAATTTACTCGGGCATTCTTGATGCAATCTCTTCCGTGCGAGGGGACGCTGAGGCGATTTAACTTCCGCAACCCCGTATGAAAAACAGGGTCCAGTGTGGACAAATCGGGACGGTGCGTCGCTCCTCTTGTCTAAGGGCGTACCTCGATTTCCTCATGACCTCTGTTCCTTTTAGGATTCTATGCTCTCGGGGGCTCATGTGGAGATGGAAAATCGGTCTTACGTTAGAGGAGCGACGAGTAGACGAAAGCTTAATGTGAATCACAGATGAGTCTGAATGAGCCTCAGAGCTATTTTACCAGTATGGCTGAAGTCGAAAAATGTGTACATCAGATTACTACGCCGTGAACCTCTGCTCATGTTTTAATTTTTTTATTATGGTGAACTAATGGGGAGTTTCTCTTGAAATCCTCTAGATATAGTTAATGCGATATGATAAGAGAATAATAGAAATTTAGTTTAAAAACCGAAATTTTGGATTTGATATAGTATAGCGATGCACTTTCACAGTGGAACCAGAAAAGCATCCCTGGTAAAAATTGGCAGTAGAATCTGTGTTTCAAAATACCATAGACCTACAGCCGGCTGTAAGATTTCCAATAGCTTCTTTAGCCGGCTACACAATTTCTTATAGCCTTTTATAGCTGATGGCGACTAAGCGACAGCCAGGCGATGAAGTGTGTACTAAACGTTACTAATTACGGATGCTAGGACTTAGTGAGTTTTTGGACTACCGTTCTATTTTTGGGCCGTAGTATCTTGATTTATTTTGCGAGAAAAGCTCCATACTTTTGATGGATGCCTGACATTCCTAATATATTAGAGCGCCTTCAGTTTCGTATGATACTGTGCAATACCTCTGGTGTGAAATAGTTGCCTCAAGCGCTGTGGCATGCTGCGGCGCGGCGGGCGGGCAGCCAGTGCGTCGCCGCTCCGCTTTGTGTTAGGCTCTAATATTTAATCTGACGGAGTCAGCGTTATTCAACTCAAGATTTTGAAATGTTTGCACATCCTGTATGGATTATTCTCATTTTAATTGATGAAAACAAATAGGTATGTATTAAAGGATAATATAATGTGTCTAAGTTGGTTCCGTATCAAACTTAATGATTTCCGAAGCACACGAATTTCTACATAATTTCTTATAGCCTTTTATAATCGATGGCGAAAAAGCAACTGCCAGGCGATAAAGTGTAAAGCCCGGCGATAGGAGCTATAGCCCGGCTGCATAATTTTTTATCGCTTCGTATAGCCCGGCCGTATGATTTTCTCTGCATTCTACAGCCAGCTATATGATTTTCTGTAGCCTTCTTTAGCCGCCTATAAGAATTCCTATGGTATTTTGAAACGCAGCTCTTATCGCCAATTTTTACCAGGGATGTGTTTCGACTGTCTCCACATTTTCGCATTTCATTCAAATTTTAAAAGGAAAAGTAAGCTGATATTTTTCCTAGACATTTCGGCCAAAATCATGTGGAATTATTTCGGATTAAATATCTGATAATTTTTCTGCGTTAAAATAAAAAGTGATTGAAAGTTTGCAAACTCGCACATTGAGGCATATCCGTTTCCTAGTTTCACAAGAAATTTTGGTTTAAAAAGTGCAGATCCACTAGTGAGCTGCAGCTACATCAATTTCTTCACAGAAAAGATACATGACCCTCTCTAGCGCAAAGTATACGTTATCATTTCCAAGTAGAACTACTCAGCTATGGAGCTGCAAGTCTTCGGATAAGGTTGAGCTGACAAGAAGAACTAATTTATTAGCACCATGTACCGATGTTTATTATCAAATATTGTGGTGTTTTCGTTTTATACTTTTGTTATTGTTGGGATTGTTGTTTTTATTTCCGTTGTTTGAACCAAATTACTTCATAGCTGGAAAATATCACAGGACGGAACCAGCCAACTGCCGAGCCGATGAGATTTTGAGTCAAAGCCAAAATAATATTAAAGCTAAAAACAGGGGAGCTACACTGAATCGTGTCAAATTTTTTTAGGCATGACAAACCTTAACTGAAATAGGTCAAGTGGAATGCTCCGGTACTTGCAATGTGCGATTTTGTAGGTAAAAACAACGATGCACTTCTCTCCGTGAAGTTAATTTTCCTGTGGACGATCACATCTGTTGATTTATACTGCCGTGTTAACGAAGAATGCCGTATGAACCCTCAGACGTGACCAAATCTCCAATTCATATATCACGAATTTTCTGGAAAATTTATAATTATTAATCTTTCGATTTTTCAGGCTATTTTGTGCGTAATTTGATCTGAAGCGTCTGAAAATTTCAAGGAAAAATATTCATAATGCTTTTCCAAAATAAATATTTTTTGAGAGGCCATTTGGCAGCATTCGAATGTTCATACGGCATTTTTACTTAGCGCGGCAGTTAGCTTCCAGACGCTCTTCTACATTGCGTTCCTTCTCTAATAAACTCGGTGTAATCCTGCCAATTCCCAGTGGTGGATTATGGAGATTTTGAAAAAACACGACAAGACATTGAGGACTTTGGCCACAAGTGGAGCCAGGGGGATGGAGGGGCGGTCTTCCATTAAATGTAAATATTTTTTCTCAAACAATGAGTGACATTTCTGTTATATTTAAATTTGTATATCAATTTTTTTGTAAGAATAACTTAAAATTGTTCCATGCGCATTTTAATTTTCAACATTTTCCCGGAGATCTCCCTCAACCCCTCCCCTCTTTGAAGCTGAGAGTGTCCTCCTAGACCCTTCTTGATAGGGTGTGTTTGCCGTCATTCCGCAAACCCGCGTTGATGAAATTCCTTTCTGCCCCCTTTCACAAAAATGAAAAAACTCCTGGTTCCGCCGATGGTTCTCTCAAGACAATAAGTGGGGAGAGACGCAAGTTTCTCTTGACAAAACAATATACTTTGGTTTCAATGGATCTGATGCTCGCAAAAAATACAGCCGGGTGGATAGACTGTTTGAGGCACGATTTTTGGCACGGAAATCACGATAGCCCCATTTAAAAAGTCCGAACGGCCACTCCCTCGTGCGCAGTTTGGGTAGTATGAGGCACCCTTTTTTCAAATTTCCCGGGTCTGGGAGCAGTTTCTCAGCCACCGGAAACAAGCAAACGGTAACCTTAGCCGGCCTCGGTGGTTTCAACACCGGTAAAAGCCAAAACTTGGGAAGTCGTTGCCGATTCGTTGTCCATTTTTTTCATTTACAAGCAAAACGCGATCTTTGATAATGGCCCATGCCCTGAGTTGGTATAGAGTGTATTTCATCGATCTGCGGGTTATTTTAATAAATTGTATGTTCAGTTTTTGTTAACCGCGGGTTGCCGTTGCTTATTCCGCCCAGATACGGTGACTGGAAACTACCCCCAGACGGGGGCAATTTGAACAAAAACATGTTCCAAACTACGAAAATTGCGCACTAAGGTGTAGATTTCAGACTTTGCTATTTTAACCGTGGTGATTTTCGTGCCATTAGCTTTCATCGCACACTAGAGCGCTCTGCGACGCCTACTCGCCACAGCAATCTGCCATGCTAGAGGTCTTCCGGAAGCTGACATCTCTCTATTTCTCTTTTTGGGTGGACTTCTGTACACTTTTTAGGTGGACGCCCTCTCTTACGCCTGTTTGGCGGAACCTTTTTCCACAACCTTTTTCTTGTGGTTATACCCCCTGACAATTTATTCACGTGGATGTATCTCTTGCGTGCAATCGACCCTTCATCGACCAACTGGCGCACGGTGGAACGAGCTAATAGAAGAGGTCGGACACGAAATCGGACGTATTTCTATCAAACAGAACTATGTGCATTATGACGTGAGCCCTATTATGCACATATTCTTATGGGTCTCAGGGCTCATGTATTGATGCACATTAGTTCCGTTTGATATAAATACGTCCAATTGTTGGCTAAAATTTCAAATTTTGATGTTCAATTTGTCATAAATATAATTTCAAGGAATGTTTCCGAAAGAAAATTTCATGAACAAACCAATGGAGCCAATTTTAAACATTTTTGTTTCATATTTTCAAAAATATAAGGTTTTAAATTTTCTAGATTTTGTCCGACTGTTCCTATTGACTTGGTCCACTGGACTACATTTTGCAATTTGGAACTATAAATTCTAGCCCGGTTCAGAAACAACGTGTGTGCCATTAGTTTCCCCATGCACATAAGTGTTTTTCCAGAAGAGCCAGAATTTATAGTTCCAAATTGCAAAATGCAGTCCCACTGTGCGGTGGTGCGTTGCGCTGAACAGGGTTGTTTTTGGATTTCCAACTGATGAGATGTTGAGGTGAACTTACTTCTCTCGACTTCGGCGTTGATGTTGATCGTCCTGAGTCGGAGCTCCTCGTTCTCGTAGATCATGCCGCGGGACGAGCTCCTGTCGAGCACGCGGTTCGGTTTGACGTTCACGTCGCGTCGCCGCGCCCGCAGCATCGACGAAGTCCCCGGCGCCATAATTCTCATCCGTCAAACTATTCTCGAACGTCAAACCGGCCCACCGAACGCGCAACACTCAACACTCCAACTCATCAGAGTCACTTACACTTCATCTTCAATTTTAAATATCCTAGACGCACGCAGATCCGCATGATCGGTGTTCTTGAATTATTATCACTATAGAATGTTTGATCTACGCGGGGGGTTACATACCTGTGAAATATCAATTATTTTCCATTTAATAAAGTTAATAACTTTGGTTATGAGAACTAGCCGAACCTCGGTCACGTCGAAGACCGAGATTTGGGCTCATGTGCCTAACCGAAGATTTCAGTTATGTAAACTGAACTTCGATGCGGGTACCGTCACCTTCCGGTGAAAGTATCACAAGCGCCATGCGACGGTTCAAAATTTCCACTACCACTTTATTTTTTTACAGAAAAATTTTGCAACGAAGCTGGCGGAGAATAGCGCTGAATTTTCTTTGTGCTGCCGATAAAATTCAGTGAAATTTTCAAACAGATTCAACAAACAATTTCTCTGTAAAAAATAAAATGACGGCGGAAATTTTGAAACGTCGCGTTGCGTTTGTGATGATTCGATCGGAGGGTGACAACAAGCAACGACGCCTCGCCATAAGGACTTGAACTTTAACAGCTTACTTTGAATATGAGGGTTAATTATAGACAACATTAATGCCACCATCGCGCAATTATTTTACATTGATAAAGGCAGTTGGCTAAAAAATCCTCAATATGTTCGTGAGCTCCATCGTTCATGTGCTTTCGTGTCAGAATTAAGGGATATTAGGACCAATTTCACCTACTTTAAATGTAAACATGATACGGTATTCTTATTGATAACTCCCAGAAAAAAAGTGACATTGATGTTTCCTCCTCCTTTCTTAATTTTTTTAAAATAAAGAAAAAAATGCAAAACAATCTTAGGAATTAGTTCAGAAAGAGTATGCTGTGCTAAGAATCGGAGAGAAACTGTGGAAATTTACAAAAAAATAAAGAAAAAAGAAAAGTTAAGATTGATGGGAGTTTGGAAGTGGGCCAGAATCCATGATTGATGGGAACATTGTCTTGTCGCACACCTTCACTTCGTTGTTTCCATTCATTATCAGGATAGGGATTTTCGACGAAGAGAGGGGCCAAGTAGGCGCGATGATTGCAGGAGGGGACAAGATGCATTGTACGCCTCATAAACAACATCTCTAGATTTTGGCCAGGTATACCTTGTTTTTGGCTTGTGCTCAAACCACGCCGTAGATTTGATTCATCTGTTTTCGTACTTTTATCGTTGCTTAATGGAGGCTATAAAGATTATTCCCTGTTTTCATGCTTGATTTAATAGAGTCGTCAAAATTTCATCCTCTCTCATATTTGAGATTTTCATTCATGATTCTATCATTCAATTAAATAAGTTTGTGCTTATCAATATTGACTGGAGCACTACAATTTGCAATTAATAGTTACAGCAGGGAACATAATTCATTAGCTTTAGTTTTTCGGATTTTGATTACTATATATCCATGTCTAGTTGTAATTTAAAGGGAAAAGCATTTCGTTTATTTTTTCCTCATTCAAATTCTTAACGGTACGTTTGTACCTAGTTTTTGTATTGATTTTCCGAGATCCTCTTCATTTTGAGGGGCAATGGTTTGGTACATAGCCATACTAAGTGCCTTTTTTGATATCTCAAAAAAAGTGGGGGGAGAGATAGATAAAGAGTAAAGGTGGTAATGTTGGACTATATTTGAGTTATGTTCAGCTGTTTACATAAGCAGTGTTTTGATACTAGCTCTTCTCAAAATTATCGATGCCTTTTTGTCTTTAAAAATGTCACATGTTTATGAACTGAACGTCACACTGGACTACATATTGCAATAGGAAGTACAATTTCTAGCTCATACATAAAAACACCTATCTAAATAGGAAATGAGCTAGAAATCGTGGATGATGATTGCAAAATGTGATCCAAATAAAGACAAGTTACTTTTTTCAATCAATGCGTGGCTACATGTGTTCTTTAAAATAAACATTCAGCTGAAAGTGTGTGAACTATGAATCGCCGCTCTTCTGCCGTTAGGGCATTCTCCATTTTCTCGTGAGCCCTGGAAAGCATACATTTGTATGAACATCAGGGCTCATGTAGGAATGAGTATACGCACTTACGTCAGAGGAGTGACAAAATTTCTTTAAATTTTCATTTTTTTAGTTTCAAGATCAACGGGCGCCAATGATAAAAAAGCAATTCGATCAACATGAGGTACACTTATATCCTTTCCAAGAATGCGCTGGGGTAAATTTCTGCTGGAAAAATTATGATGTAATAAATCAACTTTCACTTAAATAGTATGTAAAACACCGCCTGAAATATATTTACAATCTTTGCGTAGATAAACTTTGTCTCATGAAATAAGGGTACACATGGATAAGGGGTCGCGTACAATGAGGTCATTATATTAGAGATTTTCGGACGGCAATTGGCATTTTTGTTCGAAACACGAGTGCACAAGGAGAGTAGATGTTTTTTAATTATTTATTCCGGAAAATCGTTTAAGAAAAGATTCATCGATAGCAAATGAGCGCATGGAACTTCAGAATCATATCTTGGATCATATTAAGATTCTGGCAAAAACGCTGCTCCATTTTTCATTCTATAGTGCAGTTATGTTTTCCTTTTAGAATATGTTTTGGGCCTTTGAATACACAGAATTGCATTCTCGGAATGACGTCCTCTATCTTAATATTCTTATTTTTGAAAATGTTCCTGCATACAATGTAAATATTGCTACCAGAAATATTTTTGCATCAACCAAATGTAAGATCATATTATTCAGGGGCTTCTAGATTTCTAGAAAAGTACTTTCAGACAGATACTTAGCAAATTGTGTGTGAACATCACCCTAAAAAGAGGAAGAAAGCTTGAAACGAATTGACATGGTAATGATTTTATTAAGCCGCATAAGCCAATTGCTCATTTTTTTGGTCTGAATCGCAAACATGCCTACCATTTTGACTTAATTGAACGAAGCCACATTCACAATTTATTAATTTTTGAACCAGTAAGTTGTATTGACTGCTTTAAAATAATTATTATATTGAGTTGATTACAAATTAAGAGATCCCTGTCAATTTCTCAAATTCAGTTTTTCAGGTGAAAGCTCATCCCTTTTTAACAAGTTTGAGGGGTGCAGTTTTTTCATTAAAAAAACACCATTCTTACAAATTTCAATATTGTCATGCGTCTCATTTTACTATCTACAAATGACTATTTAAATAGCATACTTTACTATAGAATTTTTTTTCGTAATTTATTTCCTATGGATTGCTTTCTCACTTTCATAGTACGTTACGGCCCCCACGTGGGCGCGTGGCTCCTCGGAGCTGATCACATACCGCACAGAGCACGAGGTTCAACCTGTTGGCACGATACGGAGGTTTCCGATTATTGGCAAGATTTTCGGGGGAAGACACACGGACCGACGACACGGAAATCCAACCCTCGGGGGCTTGCGTTAGCGCGTTACCGAGCGTTACGTGGCATGGAGCCGGGCATTACGGGAGCCGGGGCCGGGAGCGGGCCGTGGCTCACGACTGGAGCTCCTCGGCCACATCCTATTCGACCGCGTTTTATTTCTCGAGTCAGTGCCAAGTTTTTTTCACCGTAATTCCCACAGATTTTCCCTTTCCGAAAGCGCGCGCCGCCGGAGCCGCGAGCGCAACGTAACGCAACGGTGAGAGGAGGTGCCGAAAATGGGATTGACAGGAGGCTTGCACGGCTCACGAGTGCATGCTGCAGGCAGGGATAAAATGCATTACATTTTGTGCATGCTGCAAGCAGGGATAAAAAGCATTACATTTTTGCGATGAGAAACCACTATCTCTGACTACTTTTAGAAAACTAGGCCGGAAATTCTTACAGATACTTTTAAATAACCGCACTTTGAAACAGGGCTGTTTAAAAAAAAATAATTAAAAACATTAAATATGAGGCGAAAATTAAGGAGTGACGACTCCCTGACCGGTTGTGGGAGTGCCAAGTTTTGTGGCGATTAGGCGTCGCAGAGCGCCAGAGAGCGGTGTGCAAGTGACTCTTGTGAATGTAAAAACAATTACAAATAATTTTCATGAGATACCTATGAGTGAATTCAATGTTTCCAAATTCAATCTCCATTTTCTTCAATTTTGGAGGGCAAATGCCCCATAGGCCCCCAAAATGCAATGTTTGCCAATAGAAACTCATTGATTCGATTCATTGATTCGAACATTGCACGGATGGAAAATTATAGCTAATATGAATCACTAAAATTTTTAATTTAGGTTTGTAACCGAAATTTTCAATGATGGAAACCTAACTGGGTACCATTGCCTGGGTTTTTGAATCGTTATGGAACTACCCTCATCGATATATCCCCATCGTAGCAATGCTATTCGAGGGGCTTGGAGGACAAGGCGCATGGATGCAGTTTTTGAAAACATGGATACACATATTAATAATTTCAAGTTAACTAGTCTCAATGCATATCATGTGAAAAATTCTCTCCTAAATTCCAATTTTTAAGCATCAAAAAGTCAGTTTGAACTTTCTTTCCGCCATTAGGATCCATGTAATTTCGAAACTTCAAACGCGTATTTCTGGAAGTAGCAAAAATTGCACTTATGCATCTTGTCCTCCAAGCCTCTCATTCGTCGTTCAAGGTTACTTGATAACGATTAAAAATTCGACCCGCAGGTGACCAAAGTCTTTGCTCACCATGATTAGTTATGCGTACCTTTTTAGAAGATTTTTTGGACCGAAATTCGATTCGTGTAACCAAAAACTTTAGTGGCAAAGTTCAACTCAAATTTGAGATCAAAGATCAGACCTGGTCAGCTACCTTCCTCAACTTTTCTGAAACCTTTCCTGGACCTTTCCCGAGAGCCTCAGAGCAGGCAGAAGAGTCGCTGTTAGAAAGAGAGGGAAAACTGGCAACACGGTTTTGTCTCTTTGTCGCGTGGATGCCCGAAGAATCGCTGATAATTGCGCCAAAACGGCGCACAGTGGATCTAGCCAGTCAGAGAGGTCGGACATGAAATTCTTAACTAAAATTGCAATTTTCGATGTTTGATTCGTCAAATTTTAAATTTTTAGGGGTGAATCTGAAAGTAAATTTAACGAGGAAACCAATGTAACCACTTTTAAAACCTCTAAGTTTCGTATAAACGAAGTTATGAGCTTCTCAAGTTTCCAAATTTTGTCCGAGCTCCCCCATTGACCCGTTCCCTTGTGCGGCGGAGCTGCGCTTAAACTCGAAACTTTTTTAGCGGGGACGTCGAATATGACTGCATTTGAATGCGACAATGAGTTGCGACGTGAAACCCCAGAGCTGCCGAAACCGACGTCTTTACCCTCCCACTGTCACATCCCATTGCAGACCCCGGTATCCGGCGTAAAACTTCATTAATCTCTGAAAGGTTTTCGTCTCAAAAGGGACGCCTAGCGCTTTGAATAGAGTCCCCATCACGGTGGCGGGCTTTTGCGCAGCGTTGCCGCTTTTCTGCAGCTTTCGATGTTGTGTCACACCTAATTGCGTCCGCATCGACGGCAAAATATGGTAGGGGTCCCTGCACTTGCTATCCAAAGAATGTAAACTATGAATGCCATTGGGGCCGTTCACGTATTATGAGAGTTCAGCAAAAATCTTGTGACTGAAATCACGGGTCTAGAATCTAGATGCTTCACCATGAACATTAATCTCAAAACGGTAATTTGACACGGCGTTAAAGTTACCGAGTAAACTTGTGCCATTTTAAGATGATACCACTATTCGACCACGTGGGAGCTCGTGGTGCCTACACTAAAAATTGAAGGCAAACTGATCTGACGTTACGGTAACCTCTTCCCGTCCTTCTTCCTCCATACTTCATCTTCTTTCTCTTTCTCCTTTCTTCTTCTTCCTTCCTCATGGATTTACATCAGTTGGTATCTCGTATCATATTCGATCGCAAACATTTGCTCAATCCTGTGTACATTGCACATTTCGACGGTGAAACTACCAAACCACGTATCTCGTTTGCGGTGTTTAAAAATCTACGCTCACATTTTATTTTTTTGAAGTAGACCAAATCAATATCATTCCTTGAAATTTTCACGGAATTTTCTCCGCACAAAGAGGAAAAATCACAGAAATTTTCAAGACTGGATGTTAAGTAGTTTTTCGTTTAAAAAATAAGTATGACAGGAAGTCTGCGACGTCGCAAACCGAGATACGTGGTTTGGTAGTTTCACCGTCGATTTGTTCTTTGCGTGACAGTTTTCGAAAGGAACAAGTCCTTCAATGGTTCAATTCTGCCCTACTAAGGGACCCGGACCCATTAACGACCCCCGCCCTTTCGTGATTTCACGCCCAATTTCCTCGAAACATCCCGATTTGTGAGGACGAGTTAGTATTAGTAAAACAATGCAGTTAAGACGCATGCTTTTTGCACCAGAAATATTATTATCTCTGAAAAACTTATGTTCGGCATTGACAATAGAACTGTAATAGCTTTAAAGTCCTCCGCCTAAGAGGAACTGTCTTCGTGTTGAACCCTCAGGCCCAGCAGGGCTACATCCGGATATGCTGCGTGCAGGAGTTTTATGGGCGAGGGCTGCAGCACAATCACTGCAATTCGGACTTCCCGATATCGAAAGATTCGCTATAAATCTCCGGCATGAACGGCACCACCCGGAAGTACAGAGTCATCGCCAATCGAAGAAAATGCCCTTCTACGAGTGCCATTAAACGGCCCCCTCAAGACATCGAAAGTGGACTCACTTCCGGTTGTATGTAGCATGAGCTTTTCCGTACGCAGTCGTGTACGTGAGCAAGTTAGTTACCGTTTAAGGCTTTGAGTCCGCGTTTTAAGATGGTCAGTAGATAGGTAGCAGGCTCAAAATATGATCGCAGTTTATTTAATGGAGCGTGATAACGCGTGACGAGAAAATGACGTCAAGCGGCGAGTACTACACTGGAAAAGAAAACACATTCGATCTAGAGTCCAGACTCTTAAAAACATCGACAAGAATAAATACTCTTGATTCAATCGGATTTTTGCTTAAATCAAGAATTTGAGAGGAAGAATCAAGAGTTTAATAATCTTAATTTGAGAGGATTTCCATTTGATTCAAGCAAAAATCTGATTGAATCAAGAGTATTTTTTCTTGTCAATGTTTTCAAGAGTCTGGACTCTAGATCCAATGTGTTTTTTCCCCCAGTGTAGGGACGTGAGTAACTTGAATTTATCTACATAATTTTATCAAGAAAATATTTTCTTGGGACGATCGAATATCTTCCAAAATAATCGCCAATATAAATCGAAATGCAGTTTATAGGATTTCGTTTCATTTCGCTTAGTCACCAAAATCAACGGAAATTTTCGCTCAAAATTCTTTTCACCAGTAATATCTTGTCTTAGTAATTTAAGGTATCGGACTTTGAATTCAGCACAAACGTTCATTATTTCAAGATTTCACCGTAATTTTCTGCAGCAGAAGGAAGGCGCGATCATTTTCAAATGCAAGTTAAAGAAGAATAAAGAATATTCTTCTGTACTCGTACTTACTTTTTGTATAGCACGTGACAAAACAGGGAGATTGAGGGGGGAAAGGAATGAGTGCGGTAGTAGTATTTTCTTTCTCTCCCCCTCCCTCTCTTTCTTAAAATTAGATTATATAAGAACCTAAAGAGAGATTCGTAGAGGTACATGTTTTGGACAATATTAACTAAAGAGTTTTAAATTTTGGATAAAATGATTGAGGAAAAGCTTTCACCGGTCCATTTTTTCATCAAAATGTCAGCAGAGAGAACTGACGAGGAAATTTTTAACTACCCCTCATCCCATATTTCAATTAGAATTGAAAATTTAGGCTAATTTGAGTGGAGGAAAACCCAGCATCAAATACTATTTTCTCAAAGATGCCCCGAATCGTTTGAAGTCTCATTACCCCATCCTCTTTCATCACCCTAAAAAGGAAACATGATAAAGACAATTATCTTTTGACTCTTGACTGCTGGGTAGAGTTTTCCCTAAAAGAATCAATGAAATTTATTCCTAGAATAGGAAAAAATAGGTAAAGATAATAGCAAGCTTTTTTCAAGACTTGTTTTCCGTTGTGTATATCTCCAATTTTTCATAAAACCATAGCAACACACAACGAAGGATGGGAGGAAAACCGAAAACTTACCAATGGTGTCTTTCATTGTAAAAGTGCACGATGTAATGAACAACTTGACATCGCGTCCACAGAAACTTATAAAAACAAAAAAATAACCTCCAAACGACTGAGCATGTTTTGTGTATTCAGTCGTGAAATAGTGGACACAAATTTAGACTCAGTTAGATCAGCGAACTATTGAAAAAAAAATCCGAAAAAAAACTATGCCAGTGAAGATAATTAAATGAGAAATAGAGTTAAGTGCATTATCTTTCATGTGTTGAGGTTGAAGGACTGATAGCGCATTTTGAAATCCTTGTAGAGAGGTAAGGAGAGATTAAAGTTGATCGTTTGTCACTACTAAATGGATCGTTGTGTAGGTGTGCCGCATTGAAAAAGCTATGCCAGAAATTCTAGAATCCTAATTTATCTCCCTTAATTAAACATTTTATATTGAAAATGGGCTAAGTGTCCAATTTTCGAAACCTTGAGTAGTCACCTACTGTAAATAATACTCGTGCGATTATTCACTTTTAATTTCCTCGTGAGAGGAAGTTATTTAAATCTTGAAAAAGAACCTCCTAAAAGTCAGTTTTGAACTACGTGTGTACGTATTACACGCAAAGAAAATGTTTTTTCTCTTCGTCAGCAACGACGATACCAAAACATTTTATGGTGAGTGCATGTCAAAAAACAAGTTATTTTGTAATTTGCGGGTACAATATATTTAAAAAATACTATTCATGCATATTTGCACAAAAAAAATGTATTAACATTTTGAATTTTTTTTTCTTCTTTTTTTTTACAAAAATTTCATCAAGCGAGATTGGGGAGATAACTCTCTAACGGAGCAATGCAGTTCTCCCATACTTTGGACCGACTTGAATAGTCCAAAATATTAGAGGCACCATGAGACATCAAGATCGAAAAATTGAGAGGAGTTTTTCAGTTTTATTCCTCCATGGGATTCATCCTTAAAGATAAAGTTCAACACCTATTTTCAGATTCAAATCATTCTTTCTCAATTTCGAATTTCACCGTGGAGTAAATGAACAGCTGCTAGTAAGCTCGAAACTACTCACAACTGACTTTGATGATTTATTCCAAAATGTGATTTGCTGCCTTTCTCTCTAAATCAGCTCATTTTGAAACACTCAAGGCGTATATTAAATTCATAATTAAATTAGCGTATAGAAAAGCCTCCCAAAAATAACGACTTTTGAATGGTGTTGATTTGTTACAGGAAAGAATACATTCGCTCATTCTTTGGATCTAAATGATAAAAAGGTGCTTGGGCATCTGCATGCCCTGTGATCTTTGATGAAATAATCTGCAATTGGCGATGGCTGACCTAGAATCTACACCTCGTGTAATATGATATCCTTAACGTAAAATTTAAACCATATCCAGTTATCTGAGAGTACTCGAAATACATAATATCTTCTTCCAAAAACCCTGCAATTGCCGTCTCACTACCTGCAAGTTTACTGACGTGAGCTTTGCGATTAACACTGTGCCACCTGATCCTCGATCTTCAAACAACCATCAGTTGACTCAGACTTGGGATCTACGATGATCTGCGAAATGGACCAAAACATTGCCATGATTGCTACGCTGAGAAGCTTAAAATACGGGAAAATATTGAGGATGATTTGAGCAACTTTCACTGTCTCCAAGTTCAAAATGAACTGTTGGGCATGGTGCTGTCCGCAGGACACAGCGGCTTGTTGCTGTTGCATCACCGCGGTCTTTTTGATATTCGTCGTGTTCTTGCCCCTCGGATATTACGCCGCCGTCAAGCACCCATGGCTGTACACTGTTGATCCTTACAAAACCACCCAGGTCTACCACCCCCCTCATAACGTCAATCAAACTTTCTGGGCTGTTCTACCTGCAATGCCTGGTTAAAGCCATGTACCCTGTCATGCGGAGGAAATATACTTCATGCAAAATCGAAAGCCCCCGATGAAACGCCACATTCTTCAAGAACTCTTTGATTTTTTCTCCGGTTTTTTTTCAGAGAATTTTATTTGCATTTGATTAAATGTACACGAAAATATCAGAAAAAACTATTCATGACTTGTCTGAAAATTAAATATTTCAACGGAGGATTTTTAGTAACATTCGAAAAATTATTGAAGGTTCTTCCTTAGCAGAGTATCACCTACTTCAGGTTCAAACACTGGTGGGTAGGTCTGAAAATTACCCTGGTCATCATAGTCGTGCATCAAGCATCTCTTTCGCATGTGGTAGAGAGAATTCATATTAAGTGAAAATGGTCACCAAATTTCTCTGTACCTATTTCTTAATAATTGAATTTTCCGGTAATTTGATTTTAAATTTTACGGTCTTTTATTCATCGAGTAAGGCAATTTTGTCGTATATCGGGGGAGAAGTTGATATAACTACCGGGAAAAATACGCTGTCACGATTATTTTGGTTGATTAACAATCACATGCAGCGTTTCCAACTCTCGGAATTTTTTTCCCTGCGCGAGCTGCGGCATAAGATATAGCTACAGCTGGAAAATGCATATACCTATCTCCGATTGCGACGTTACAAACACCCGCTCAAGTTTTATTTCTTTTTTAATTTTTTCCCCAATTTTTTTTTAAATTTTTTGTCTTTAAGTATAATTATTTCTAGAACTACCTAATCAAAAGCTTTTTCCCAAATCCGTGAGTTTCCTTTTTGAATCAAAATAGTTTACAGTCAATTTCAACGGGTTGGATAGTTTACCTTAAAAAAATCGTAATCAGAGATTTCAAAACGTTGCCACGGAAATACGCATTTTTCGGAGTTGGACATCGATACATACTGCATTCATCTAAACCGATTCAAATTGGTCTCCCAATTAATTATGATTGTTTAACAGCAATTTATCTACTCTTAGAACCACTGAAGAGTTTGTAGGATTAAACGTGATGCATTTCGTTTCTGAAACAGTACATCGGCGTTTCAACCTAGTGTTATGTTTACTCAGTTTTGCCAGTGGTTTAAATATGTGGAAAATATCCTGTAGTGGACAGGTCTGATTTTAATTCCTTCTTACGTGTAGATGTAGATACTCAAATTTGTGAAAAGTTTTTCAGCCGCATGTTTGCTCGAAATATGCTCGAAATGGCGGTTTGGAAAACCCCATCTTAAATGACAGTTCATGCGCACAGGAGTAGCACTTGGCGCTATGTTATTAATAAAGTCTCAGCAGTAAAACAGCTTATCATCATGTTAATAATGAATCTAATGAAAACAAAGAGAAAATGCTGAATCTATCGCTCACTCACTTTTTAAGAGCGAGCTGTGAGGGAAATTTCAGTTGAAAACATCTTCATACATTTTTTTTCACTCACCGCATTTATACGTTGAAAAATTAAATATTCAAGATGAAAATGTATTATTTGTAAAATTTATAAAAATAACCTAATGTATTTTTCCATTTAATAACTGAGTTGAATCCTTGAAAAATCGATTTTCAAACTATATATCGTTGACGTTATTTCTACTTACAAATTAGAGAGCAAAGGGTGTGAAGAAATATTTCAACCACATTGTTCTTACCTATTGCGACTTCAAATCGATCTCTAAAACCACTCATGCAAAAGTTTTAGCTTCGTTGATCCATCAATCTTTGTACAATCAAGAGTCTCGCTCGGTGATGCAAGTTTCTCTACCTATCCTGCGGTCTCAACGTTACTCGGCAAATATAGTGTCAGGATATTCAAAGATTTTTTAATGCCGATAGCTCGTGTCTGGTAAAAAGTTGAGCGCCTTCTTTACTTTGATCCGCAACATAGTATACGTAAGCTAGTACCTCCTTCTTGCCTAGTTTCAGGCGCTGAGAGGCAAGAGGCAAGAGCTTGGCTCTGAGGGTAATCTCCATGCAGAGGAAGAACCAAAGAGAAGTATGAAAAAAATAAGAATACGCTCTTTTTACGTGAAAATTTGCATCGCCATGTGATTTGCTTATTGAAAGCTACACATATAAAAGATTAAACAGAAATGGAATGATTTTATTTAATAATAATACATATTATTACTACTTACAAGGATCTAAATTTTTGACTAAATTTGGATTTTAATGATAAAGTCTTATAGATTAGCTAAACAACAAAGAAAAAAAAGAAAACAAAAAAAAATGCATTTTTAAAAAAAATAAAAATAATATGAATGTTCTAATTACCTCTAATGCTAACGAAAATATTGAATGTCACTCGGAAAAAAGTATAGTAAATTTTATTTTCTGTATAGGTGTGAGACCCAGGGATACAAATGAAACTTGACAAATCGTAAAATCTGGTGGAATGCAATACAATACACTGGTTAAAGACTATTGAAATGTGCTAAATGTTACCCCCAGAAATTCTTTGCTTGAATACTTAAATACGAACGTTTATAAAAGTATATCCTCGGATTCTTTTGATTTTCAGTCGGCATTTATTAGCTGACTCCGGTCAATGTCTCTAATTATTAATTCTGAAACTTTTTGTCAAATTGCGGAAAGAGAGACTCATATTCGGATAGACTTTACCCTAGGGCAACCAAGCGTTTTGAAAACCGATTGATCTCTGTTGGTTTGCAGCACTTAGAAAAACCACAACTGTTATGATTGAATGAAAAATAATGTCAATGAAAAGAAGAGACATAAATATATTTTTTTTAGTAGACGAGAAATCTTCAGTATTTGCCTTTATAGTGCTCTCAAAGTTCTTCAAGGAACAAAGTTCCTTGAAGAAACCTACTGATCACTTGGTTTCATTTCTGTTATCTCTTTTCCGGATTAACAATGATTAGGTAGCCAACTAATGGAATAAATTATCGGTTTATGACCTAAGTTAACTTCTTTGATACTAAATGTCTAAAAAATAATCTATCGGTCGTTTAGGTTGAAATGATAACACCATCGCGCATCGATGATTTTTTACAAGAGCAAATGCTGAATTCTACCCTCCACTTTTAAGGCTAATCGCTTTGCAGGTCTACAATGTTCCATTTTGCTCGAACTGCCCATTTTTTTGAATGCTTACCGATTGCCTATTTAAAGAGAAAGTACTAGATATCACTAAATATTCGTATGAAATATACACACAGAACTTGATTAATACCTTTGACTTTTTATTTGATTTTTTCATGTTTATTTATTTATTTTCTTAAAGATAAAAGTTTGCAAGCATCTAGAGTGCTCAAGTTACAGCAAGCGTTCTGTCAATTTGCCTTCAATACTGTGTCGCATTCCTGAAGCCGATCAATTATCCGCACCCACGAGCAGAATTGTTTCAGTTTATGGCTAAAGTAATTCTCCAAAATCCGTTATATTCATACAACCAATTGGGAATTGAAGATTTAAAATCGGTTGAGATGTGGTCGTATGCAGTTTCAATTTCAGCCCTTAAGCGGTTATCGTAACCATCGCTTTCCTTAAGGACGTCATGAAGCTTGAGCAGGCGGATTTTGCGTTCACCGGACAACAGACTCTTTCTCATTCTTCGGTGAAGCATGATGCACTGATTTCGGAAAGGAACCGTCTCATTCCTGGACAAATGTGTAAAAATTAGACTGGGGGGCAAGTGACATTTAAACCCTCCTCTAGGAGCCTATAAGAGACTAAAACGTCTCAAAACACTCAGGTCTTAAATGTTGACTTGAAAACTGGTGGATTATTATTCTTAGTGATAATACCCGTATCTCTGGATAAGAAAATCCAACCCGAATCCCGGCGCGAATTTTGCCGAGTAAACAAATAGACGAAGAAGCTTAGTTTCCATTTCCCACTAATTAAATATTGTTGATGGCATTTTAACACCTGACTGATATCAGTGACTTTAGGGTAAAATTTTCGTGCTTGCGTTGATCAGCAGTATGTCAGTGTGAGTCAAGGGCAATCCGACTAGTCTTCTAATGTTCAAATGACACGTTTTAAGACCGAGTTTTGATTGTTTATTCCTCTTTATTTTAATTTTCTAACGGTACTGTTTTCCCTTTCTTTTGCATATCCACCTCTCCTCCTCCCCTCCCCTAAAACTATGAATCAGAAATTAGAACAAGCGTGCCTCCTCATACTTCTAGATCTATTATGTTTTTTTCCTCCTCACTATCGAGAAATAGTATAATTTAAGTTAAAATATAATGGTATTTTTTGTAAAAATTTTATGTTTACAGTTGATCTAAGCTTTGAAAGATATCGTAAAGGTATCGTGTCGCAAACGGGAAAAATTCATTTTGTAAAGCAACTTTCAGGGCTTGTAATTGACGCCCTCTAAATATAATTTAATGAGGGGGAGGTCATTTGCACGGGAAGTTGAGATATTTTGACATTTTAAGTCCCCCCCCCCTCCCATTTTTGTGTTGCCGCAGGTCATGGCCAAAGACACTCACATCTGTAACGGATCAAAAATTCACCAGATTTCAGATTGGTAATGCGGAGTTTCACTCTGAAATCAAGCTTTCTTGAGAAAAATGGAAAAACGCGCGGAAAAGTCGGAATTCTGAATAATTTTAGGAGGTTTATTGGGATGCTTACGCCCCCCTCCCCTCCTCCCACCACGATAGAATTCTTGTAAACAAAAAAAATTCTTATTCTACTAGTCGAGAGCTTCAAGGAAATCACCATCTTCAAAATTCCCAGAGGNGGGGGGGGGGGGGGGGGAGAGTTACCTACTGGGTTACCCTTTGCTGGCCCATTTTTTAATTTTTTTTTTATTTGCACACAAAAAACCCGTAGAACACTTTCAGATTTACATTATATCTTTAAAAGCTTAAATCAACTGTAAACATACAATTTTTACAAAAAATACAATTATATTTTAACTTAAAGTATACCATCTCTTGATAGTGAGGAGGAAAAAAAAATAAAACAGATCAACTTAGTATTGAAAGTGTTTTTTTGTTTTACCGCTTATCTAAGCTACACACAAAGCTATATATCGACGGTGAAACTACCAAACCACGTATCTCGGTTTGCGACGTCGCAGACTTCCTGTCATACTTTATTTTTTAAATGAAAAACTACTTAACGTCCAGTCTTGAAAATGTCTGTGATTTTTCCTCTTCGTGCGGAGAAAATTCTGTGAAAATTTCAAAGAATGATATTGATTTGGTCTACCTCAAAAAAATAAAATAAGAGCGTAGATTTTTAAACACCGCAAACGAGATACGTGGTTTGGTAGTTTCACCGTCGATATCTAGCTATATAAGATTATACTGCTAAACTAAGGAACCTCCTGATCGTATTCGAGGAGTATGAGGAGGCACGCTTGTTCTAATTGCTGACCGATGACCGAGGGGGACGAATTGAAACAGAGGACTATCAAATGAAAAATCTGCAAAGCACTTGATGTAACTTATGACGCCTTGCTTCCTCCTTTATAGAATTTGAGAAAACAATTGCTACGTCGATGATAGGTCAACCTGGAAACCAGAGGAAAAATAAAGTGGCTTGACCGTTTTGGCACTCACCTGTATAAGATGTCCCGGGAGTAATAAAGGTGCACTGTTATAATTCTTCGTAAATTTTCGGGAGATAAACCGGAATTCGAATCGTATGAGTTTGATGGTAAGGGTATGAGTCCTCCAAAAAGCGGGTCCCCTAGTACATTTGGTTCTACAACTAGAACCTGTTCTGAGGAGGCCCTATCAACTTGTTTCATTTCTTTTCGAACAAGAATCGGCCTCGCTCCAATGAGACCTAGGTGAGGAAACACGTAGGCTACCCTGTAGAGACAGAAAAATATGAGACAAGTCTTTTCACAGTCGCAAATATCCATATTATAAAACCTATGTCTCCTCGTTTACTTATTTTTCTATTGAATCTCCAGTGGCGTACGAAGAGGGAGGGGGCTAGGGGGGCCTGACCTCTCGGACAATTGAAAATAGTATCAGCTGCCCCCCCCCCAAATTATGAGTGGTGGGAAAAGACCTTCGTCAAGGATAATTATCTCCCTGTAGAGTCTTCAATGAAAACACTATGTTCATTTAGTCAGTACTTGTAGTGTATTTTCCGAAGGAAATACACTATTGCGTTCTCCTATGATGTCAGACCTGGACCAGACACCATGTAATGAGCATCGATCATGGGTCGTAGATTACGAATATGTAGGCCGTTCGAATTCCTCTTTAAAATGTCATCATGACAACCTCAACATGCGTCCAAATAGAATTAAAATTTCAACTTTCCAGATGTTTTGAATATGCAACGATTCGGAAATATTTTGTTCTAAAAGTAAAAAAGCGTAATTTTCCTGCAGAAATTAATGGAAAATATCCGTCACGGAAGCCTCAAAATGCATATAAATATATATTTAAACCAACGAACGAAATTTAAGGTAATTAAATTTGACCGTTTAAATTCATTTTTTTTTTTTTTTTACATTTGCCTGACATTTGGGGACTTGAGAACGTAATGTTGAACTAACCAAGATAACGTTGGAGCAAAGATGGGGTTAATCGGCTCATTTCGCGAGAAAATCGTATGACTTTTGAACTGAAGTATTTGGGGGTCCGGAACCCCCCTTGAAATTAGTTCTAAAAGACTCCTGTGATTTTTACTTAAACGTGCTTATAATTTGGTAAATTCTACCAAATCTATTCTATTTCCACCAATTCTATTTTGGTTCTTTCTACGATAAGTTGAACCAAAGTTGTGATTTCTTGAAAATAGGTCAAATTTGACCTTTGACTTATCCTAACCCGATCAAAAATTAAGATATGGATATGCGGTTTGCGCCCAAATTCTTAGCTTTTAATGCCCTTTCCATTGAGTAATTACAAGATAGGAGTTATACCACTTGAGAAAAATAATTTGCCCCCCCCCCCCCGCCTCCCCTTGAGGAGGAGAAAGAGTTTCAAAGGCGGTTTGAAAGATCTTTATGGAAGTTTTTAGGAGGGTTTCGTGCGACTTAGCATTACTGGATTGACAGATAACGGTCATGGGAATGAGACTAAAGTAATATTGAATATTCAAACAAATAACCTTGAAATAGAGACGCAGTCGGGAACTTCACAGGCAGCAGAAACGTTGTACTTTTTTTTCAGGAATGATAATCTTTTTTCTGGGTCTGATCCATAGTTCCCTTTGGAGGTTGAATACTGCTCTTTTTCCAAGGAGATCAAAGCCGCCATCTCCTCCAAGAACTGGACCGGAGTTGTGTTCTAGTAAGCAGCCTTCTCCACCAACATTCTTGAAATGTCACTAGAATCAAAATTGTGGAGGAGCTCCAGTGCAATACTGCTCTTATTGTTGTAGTAGTCTAGCATGTACTCGAAGTCTTTATCCTGTAAGGAGCCATTGATTCTCTCCATGTACGAGGCATAATCTATAGTTGGAGGGACGATAGGACTCTCGGCCTCATGATTTAAGCTACGCAAGTTTGTGTATGGATCCGCGGGTTGAGGATTCCTCGATGCTGAAATAGAAGACTTTAATTGTATGAGCAAAAAGAAATCAAGCCACATAAAGAGTTGGACCCTTTTTTAAGAAGTAAAGAAAATATACGTCTAGTTGAGCTTTAAACGATTCTTCACTTAATGTTTTCCGAAGTATGGCTTGGCTCTCTTGATTAGCTCCGTCTTAGCTTCACGGAAGAAATCATCGAAGAAAGGTATATCGATAAAGGCCGTTTTTGGGCCTACCCTAACTGATTGTCCCCAACTCTATACGATTTGTTGCTCATCGGGGGTCAGAATGCTTGGAAGGCATCGTGATTCAGTCATTTTCGGTCTCTTTTCGAGTCTAATACTGACCTAAATATGGGTCTGACAACCGACTTGGGCGAAAAATGCAGATTTTTTGGCATACGACTGCAAACCCGCCCAACCCGAATTTTTCGCTAAAATTGGCCCTTAGACCCATATTCAGGCTAGTATTAGACCCAAAAAGAGACCGAAAATGACCAAATCATGTGCTTTCCGTAAAACATTGGCCATCAATGAGCAAACACTTGTAGAGATTCTGAGTGGGCCCAATACAGCCCTTATTGATACCATACCCTTTCTTTCATTGAGTACAAGTTTGAATGGCAATTTCGGAAACTATGAGAAGTTTTTTTGAAATTATCCGGCATTTTCACGTAAGGTAAGGAAATAAGACTTAGGCGAAAAGGCAACGATAAATCAGAATAAGAAGAGAAAAAATAAGAGCCATCGCTACGACCATAACCAGAAATCTGATGATGTCCAGTTGGTGTTTTTTAAAGTTTTTTTCTAAGGAGACGACCAAATATTGATCAAGAGAATGGTTTTATTTTTAGCTTTTGTTCACGCAGGAACAAAAAAATCACTGTTAAAAAACACTCTTATTGACAAATAAATGTGCTTTGATTTACTTAAATTCTTATTTTGACTTTTTTTTTCTTTAAATGCTGATGAATGAGAGAAAATGTATATGTTAAGGCATTTACAGTAGTTAATAAGTATACAAGTCTATGTCGACATTAAGACATACTTGATTAGTAGAGAGGAGTGTCAAACTGCGTCTGTATATTTTCCCCATAGATCCAGTGATTGAACAAGAGAATATCAATATGCTGTTTTATCATTTCGTATATTTTTTTTGTTTTTTTTTTCTGTGGTTTTTCAAATTACGAGTAAAAACTGGACTTACCGGCGATGCCAAGCAAGAATGCCATAACATAGAAACTGCAATGAATATTAATTCTTCCGGGTTGCATCGTGGGTTGTACTCTTAGGAAGTGATAAAGATAACACCTAATTCATGGGAAACAAAATGTAAGTTTGTATTCGAGATCGATCCAAAACAAAACAACCATATAAAATATAATTTGCAGACATTTTTGGCGTTTGTGTAACGCTACAAACATCTAAATCCTCTACGTTCATGGCGAGACTATCAAGGGTATAATTTTGGAGAATACCATACACGAACATGAGTAAATTTGTAAAATATCTATGATTAAAGTCGAAATATGCGTATCTTCGGATTGCAGCGATGTAAATCTTCACTCTGGCGTGATTCTTTTTAGAGGAAGAATACAGAGTTTTCTTAAAATCTCCCTTGAATTTTCATCCGTTATCAAACGATATTTTCCAAAAATGTATAGATTTATAGAGTATATTTTGATTAGTTTTTTTATACATAAAAGTAATCGGAGATTTTTAAACGATGCAATGCCAACGTACCAAAGTTGCGTTGCGTCTTTCGGGTTGAACTATCAATGTCCTATTATATTCAGACTAGGGGGCACACCCCCGGAACGCATCCCGGTCCGCAACCCCCCCTCCCCCAAAGCGAGTGATTTTGTGCGGAAATGAGGTTTAGCTGACGGAAAATTGCCCGGCGGTTCCTCAGAATTAAGGATCACAAGGTTTCAACCCTTACAGTTTTACTTATTTAGAGGACAACATTGCATTTAAATATAGTCGCCCCTTTTCATTGAGACATGAGGGGCTTGAAGGACAAGGAGTATAAGTGCAGTTTTGAAAAAATTGAGGTATCGATGATTTCAAATGAAACTAATTTTACTGCATATTCTGTAAAACTTCGCTCCAAAATTTCAATTTTTAAGCCTCAAAAAGTCGGTTTGAACTTCCTTTCCACCATGAGGATCCATGTAATTTCGAAATTCCGAACTTGTATTTTTTAAAATAGCAAAAATTGCACTTATGCGTCTTGTCTTCCAAGTCCCTCGTATTAAGTATACTTTTTTAAGGGGGCTTATTCTCCTCGAGATAAAGAAGTCTGATGCAAAGATGGTCTTAACCGCATTATGACATTGTGAAATTGCAACTTACCTCTAATTCATTAGCGGGTTTATGTTTAAATTAAGCATTTTAGGAAATTATAATCCAACTCATCCCTTGTCGATTGCTAGCACGACAGTCACATGAAAGATCAATCTTACGCCACGCCGATCGACAGTTATTGCGGATCTACATTGCTCCCAAAAAATCTGTTTATGAACACAGAATTTTTATGTCTTGTTCCATACACATGATTTATATAGTAGTGTTGGCTACATATTTCTAGCATCGCAATTTTTTTTTCCGAAAAAAAAGTTGTCTGATTATCTGCGAATAACGCGAACTCCCAAACAGAATTCCTGTGCGGAAAACATTCATTGAGTGTTTTCTATCGACTAATTTTCATTGGCCAGATATTGCGTTATTCCGTGCTAAATAAGTGCACCTCTAAGAAATCATTATTTTTATCTACTTATGGAGAGTAATCAGTGGGTCATACATGTTATACACATAAAAGCAACAGTTTTCGATAACTGTGAAATAGGTAGGTAATTTTATGCTAAAATCAGTTGAGAATTATACTCTATTGATGAATCTAGTCACAATTCGTGCGTTTCAAGACATACCTGTACAGCTTATATGAAAGTATCACAAAATTTGGAGCCTTGAAGTTATAGCCACAACACAATACTGAATAATGCGCACCCTGGAGACGGAATGATTTTGCAACTCCTCTGGAAAATGAAAGTTCGGTTCAGATAATGAGGAGAGGTGGTAAAATGATTAAATGTAGTCGATTGTGGCTTTCTGATTAAATATTCTCTCTAATTCCCTATGTGTAATATTTCGAAGAAAATAATTTTAAGATAAGATAAATATCGCGGTACCACGTATCTCGGTTGGCGACTTTGCAGACTTCCTGTCATATTTTTTAAACTGGAAAACTACTCAAAGGCAATTCTTAAAATCTGCTATGATTTTTTTTTTTCTTTGAGTAAAGATAATTTTGCGAAAACTTCCAGGAATGATGTCAATTTGCTCTCCTAAAAAAAAATTAAATCGGAGCGAAGATTCTCAAACACCCCAAACGAGATGCATGGTTGCGACCTACACCGTCGATGCAACGAAAAATATCTCTAATTAGTACCTACATGATCTAAACTTGAACAAAGATAGGAAAAATTCAAAAATGTTTTAAAAATTCTGTCCTTCAGAAAACCTCTCTTAAAAATTAAAAGAATTGTTTAATCGCACCAGTTTTGTGGGAAATCCAGTTTTTCCCTAAAAGTTGTGCTTTAGAGGAAAAACTTGAATTTCCCGGAAAATCCTCCCGTGATTGGGGAAAAATTGGATTTTTGTATTCATGCAGCGTTGAAAATACATTTATATTCGAATCCGATATTTGCCTCAGTTTAGCTGTGAGCCTGCTTCTTATTCTCGGGCAAAAAGAAAGCAAGATGTTTCAACACGAATGTAATGTGTTAAAGGTTAACATTTCGACAGTGTAAGTCTGCGATCATTTATCTCGGTTTCTAACGTGGCAGACTTCCTGTCATATTTTATTTTTTGAATCGAAACTGCTTAACAGAAATTTTTAATTGAAATGTGGCAATGCTCTGAGAGCAAATATTAATACGTCTCATATCAGCTGAGACTTTCCATCACCTCCTAATGAGGCCCTAAAAAGTCGTGGAACATTCGTCGGGGGTTGAACCGCACAGCGTTCAGGCGGAGAGCCCCTTAATTTGCAAGCAACGTGGACAAAATGAGTCGGTCAACGTTGCTGCACGAACTCACTCGGCTAAATAGTGAATAGGAGGTGTTAAAGTTTCAGGCAGAGTTCTCGATCGGATGTCATGATACGACGACGACACCGGTCCGGACCTCAGGCTGTCGAAGACACCACAATGGGGTGTGAAGGAAAGCAGTTCAGACGGAGGGGGCCCATAGGAGCGGGGGAGAGNGGGGGGGGGGGGGGGGCAAGCGTGTCCCAACAACTCCGAAATAGAGCAGAAATCGCAGCTTCCCAACTTGCAAACAACTTGCTAGGGCTGTGCGCAGAATAACAACAAGCTAGAATTGCAGCGTAAACGATGCACCGTCCGCCTGCGCTAGACCGTGGTTTCACGCCTGGGAACGTCCCATTGTGCTGTGACATCCGTTGAAATGGAGTCGTCACTTGGCCGGCCGTTGTTCGGCATCGAGCAGAATGAACTCTCCGCAAAAGTTCGCCTTTGCCGATGTTGAATGACTCGCCCTCCAGGTGTCGCTCGGCTCAATTACGGCTCCTGGGTTGCTTTGTAGCCCGTGCTTTTGACTCGAGTTAGTTAAAATGCGACCAAGGGCAATAAAGGTATCTTGAAAAGACGTACACTGAAAAAAAAAATCTCAGTGTATTTACTAAGGAAAGGGTAAAAGTACCAAGAATTCAGAGTTCTATTTGATCCCAGTTTTTTCTTGATAAAATTACCATTTATGGAATTGGTAATTTTACCGAGAAATCTCGGTAAAATTATTGAACTTTCTCGGTAATTTTACTAGACCTTGGTAAAAACGCCAATATTTTTTATCGACTGTGGTAGAATTACCGAGATAAAATGGCAAAATTACCGGGAATTGATTACCAATAAAAGTGGTATTCTTACCTGAAAAAACAGTAAAAATACCGGTTTTTAGGCAAGCTTACCAGTCTGTCTTGGTAAAATTACCAATAATTGGTAAAAAAAAGTGAGATGGTAAAGGTACCAACGGACCTTGGTAAAAACGCCGATAATTTTTTTCAGTGTAACGTGTGTCGAGATAACGTGTATTAACTGGAATCATCCTTGGTAACTCTGCTGTTGATGTTTGCTTGCATGACACCTATTTTGTTGTTGCTCATTTTCATTATGTGTTATCTATAGGAATTATTTTTGCTATCATAGGTGGGGCTATTTACTGATATCCTCTAATTTTGGGACTGACTTTACATAATTATAATTTGGTTTCTCAATTTTATATTATGTTTATGGGAGTAAATTTAACATTTTTTCCACAGCATTTTCTTGGTCTAAGTGGGATACCTCGCCGGTATTCAGATTATCCTGAGTGTTCCCTGTTTTCCGCGTTTTACCTAACGTAAAACGCGGTGCAAGATTGTTTCCGCGAGTATTGTTGTGCCCCGGATTAGAATTGGGGTTCGTCGAGGCGTTTTCGTCGATTTCGTGCGAAATCACGTCGCGTCGCACCGAAATCGTCTTATTTTTTTATTTGTTGATTGTAAAGGTACTAATAACTGGAAAATTATGAGTTCGCTGTACTTTTTCTGGATTTATTTTCCACTCTGAATAACATGGACTTAGCACTATCCTACCATTCCATAACTTCAGTGCTCGGGTCGGAACTTCCTAACTTTTTTTTTTTTTTTTTTTAAATCAATTCACCTTTATCATTACTCTACATCATGAGAGTAATGCTTAACGCACAACGCCTGAAACGCGAAGCGCTTCGACGAATTGGACCGCGAAGCAGTCAGGGCACGTACCCCCTTGTTTATTAGAATCCGACAGTTGCCTAAAACCTGATAAAATGCTTAAATCATGCATCCTTAGGAAACAAACCTTTGATTTGTCAGCCTCAACCAATTCACTTATGCGATGCGTAAACATATTTGATATCAACTGCAAACTATTTTTTGTTTTATTTAATCTCATTAGCGTTATTTGAAGCAGGGAACGATGCCTTCCACACACACGTGTCAACGTATTGAATTCGGTCCACCTTTCAAATGAATAATAATTTCTGACGTTATGTGGGTCTTCCCAGCGGGTTTAAATGAAAATTTTTACTCTGATTGAATTTCATTGTAAATCAATGATAATCTGAATGTGCCTCGTGTCGACGTCACTCGCAGAGCTTACCTATAGTGTCTCCGCGGAGATAACTCCGAGGGACAAACGAAAAGACTTTCTGAAGAGGCGTCAGCGACGAGTGCGGTATTAATTAATGTTGATACGAGAGAACAATTCTCTCGGAGAGAACGCGAAATGTCCTGGAACAGGAAGCGCCACGGGGATAAGGTGACGAGCTCACACCTGAGGAAGTTGGATTGCTCGTCGAGAGTTAAGGGAAATGAAGCTGTAATTAAAAAAAAAGTCGAACTCGATGTGAGCGGAGATCGAGGTCGCTGCGAAAATGGGAGTGGAAGTCGTGGTTACCAAATTGTGCAACTATCAAAATGCACCTTGAACCGAAGACATGAGTCTAATGCTGCCATGCTAATGAAAAACGCCGTATGAACCTTCAGGCGTTGCCAAATTTCCTTTGATAAAACACGAATTTCCTGGTAAACTCGTCAATATTTTTCTTCCAATTTTTCAGATAATTTTCTTCGCAATTTCACCTAAAATTCCTGCAAATTTTAAGGAAAAGTATTCATAGCTTTCCTCAAAAATAGACATTTTATCGACGGAAATTTGGCAACTCTCGAATGTTCATACGGCGTTCTTCGTTAGCACGGCAGAATGGAGTTCTGCGCAAAATGAGGAGCAGAGGGATTTACAACGTAATCAACTGTTCGTTTGTGAAATTTGTAAAAGAAACACCAGGGCGCACAGTGGAGAGAGTCAATAGGAGAGGTCGGGCAAAATTTGGTAACTTTAAAAGCTCATAACTCCGTTTATACACACTTTGAGGTTCTATAAGTGGTTTCATTGGTTTCCTCGTGAAATTTTCTTTTGAATGCACTACTTAAAATTTAAAATGTGACGAAATGAACATCAAAATTTGCAGTTTTAGTTGAGAATTTCTTGTCCGACTTCTCGGATAGACTCGATCCACCGTGCGGCGCCGGCGCCCCTGGTTTTGTTTATAATCAAACCCCATGGCTGTTAACAGCTCTCAAAGCCGGCGCCATAATGAAGGGTGCAGCACTGCAGCACCGAATTTTAAAAGCCTACCTTTGCTGCTGTAAACGTTGGCAATGGTCCAAAAGGTCGGGGTAAAGAAAAACCCCACAAACTCTTGCCTGCATCTCATAATCAGTAAATAAACATTTCATTCTTCCTGAATACGCTAAGTGCATGCGAGCATAGATTGTCTTTCTGCTTAGAGACTTCTCGCGGAACGTAGGTATAGTTCTTAACTTCCTGTTTTGAGGCCTTTGAAAGTTTACTCGTCATTTAGCTCCAATTTGAGCTGAAAGCAGGGCCAGATTAAGGGGGTGGCCACATGGGCCGCGACCCATGGCGGCAAATCTAAGGGGCGGCAAAAATTTGCAATTTCTTAAACAAAATTACAAACAAGAAAAGGCGACAAAATCTCTCATTTCCTGAGAGTATGGTAAATTCTAATTTTGTCGTCTCTTAGTGATACAAGAGACAGCACCTTCAATAAGTCGAGTTAAGAGAGCAACCAAACACGCAATTTGGCATAGAACGGCGCGACTTAGAGAGAAATGATAACGAGAACTTGAGATGAAAAGGAAAAGCTCTCGGCGCGGCGGTCGGCATGTAACACATATTAGCGCCTACAAGACTGCACGAATACTTCACGCATTGCATCAAACATAGTGGGGTCATTGCGGTCAGCGTGAAACGGATAGCGCCTACAAGAATGGATGAATACTTCACGCATTGCGCCAAACACAGTGCGGTCAGCGTGAAACGCATAGCGCCCACAAGACTGCGTGAATACTTCACGCATTGCGTCCAAGACGGTGCGGTCTGCGCGGCGCGGCGGCG